GTGCAAGTTAAAGAAGAGTCTCGTGCATGAATGCCATCGGACCCCCTTTTCCCCTCTTCGCCATTATGGAAAACGCGACCTGCAGAAGTCCACATCGTGTTGATTGGCGCGCTGCAACGTGACCGTCTTTTGGATGGAAAAACATAGTAGCTTCTCTATTTCGATGATTCTGTTCATTGATCGTTGCATTAAACAACATTCCTAATAGTTCTTAGTATGATATTGTGCTGTAATCTTTACTCCTCTTATTCATCCTCTTAGTCCAACCGGAGCACATACTTGTCTGAACCAAATCGATCGTGAATAGGGCCTATCATAGTCATTGAATAGGTTCGTTTCACGTAGGCCTTAAAAAATCAAACTGTTGCAATTCCATCTTATCCACGAACCACGACTCGGACTAGTCTTTTCCGTGAACCAAACTTCAAAAGCAATCTAGAATTATGATATCATTAATCTTTTTCGTGAAATCATCCAGCAGTTGGATTTCTTTTCCTCCCAACATGAGATTGGTGATTTTTCCAAGTTTCTCTCTTGGAAGGAGGGCAATTCTATGTAAGATATGTCCCGCAGTTAAGTAGACACTAACGTACGAAAGGTATCTAAAGTTAGATCAACCTTATCTAGTTCAGAATTTCAAAATCAAGACAATGCACTTTCTTTTTTTGTGTGCTGTAATCTCCAAAACCAAGACTTGTGTAATGATCTCGACGCGTGTCAACACATTTGCTTTTTAACGGGATATTGAACAAAATGTCGACGGAGGGTAGATTTAGGTAAGGAGCATCGATTTGAAATTTTTTGTAAGATAAAAATTAGTTTTGGGTAAACATATCACAAGAGTATCGGTTTAGGATCTTTAATTATATTAAAACCTTTATTAATTAGAGGCTAGTCAATCTATTACGAAATAAAAGGTCAACCAAAAGCTATACTTAGGGATCATGGAACTGGGTCTAGTCTATTATATCATAAGGGCACCATCCTCTGACAATTTAAAACTGTTGATTCACCATCTCCAATGTGAACTGAGAAATTTGCAGGATTCTAGCGTTCTACTTGGAAGAAAAAAGAAATCGATATTTATATTAATAAATTTCTAGAGATGCTAGTAAGTAGTAAGTTTTTTTTTTGGTCAAGTGACAGTAAATTACTTGTCTGATAACTTATTTAGTAAATTAAATATTTATTTGATTATCTACAAATTATCAAATGGTTTCAACAAATTTCCAGTTTTTTGTTTCAGATACTTACCAACGTGTTATGACATGTTAAGGTTACCTAACTTTTTTACCAATAAAATTAGTAATTGGTTTTAGATTTTGTCGGCACTCGAATGACCCACCCACCAAACATTATTCAATCAATTTTCTCAGATAAATTGGTTGTCCGGTGGTTCTCGTGATTTTATACATGGACAACTAAGGATTCACGCAAAATACATTGTTCCGGCTCTCTCTCAACGTGGGATTCAACAAAGTTTGCCGCATCTCTCGATTGGAAATTCTAGGTTAATTCACGGTAATAACAAGAATTACCAAGCGAACCACGTAATTGATGGGTTCTATTTCAGGTTTTTTTTATGGGGTTTTCAGACAAATCTTCTAGGTATTCTATAATTTTTTCCCAACAAAAGCGAAAAAAGAAGAAGAGGATAACCAAACTTCAAGATTTTTATGGTTGAGGTATGTGTGGACTTTGGAAGGGTGGTTGGGTTGGGAACGGCGGTGCGCACGGGAGCCAAATTAATAAATAAATAAAAAAAATTGCTTGAGTATCCCACTGGGATATAAAGAATTAGTACAAATAATTTTTTAATACTCTGCGACTGATGTAATTTTCCACTATTGACAGATTGAGTTTATCTTAAGTTAAACAATTTTAAAAAAAGAAGAAGACACAGAGACCAGAATGGTAGTTGGATCCCCAACAACAATAACATGTGGCTGAGGAACTCCGTTCCCTATTGGACATTTAGGAATTCTCGATTTGGACATATTCGAAATTAGTTATGACAAGGTGAGGAGAGGACTAAGGAGATTAATATTGACTTTAGCATTAGAATCTTTAATCCTAATGAGCGTCAAATGACGCTGCCGACCAACTACCGTCGGAATAGGTTAGCTGAGGAAAAAATACACGAGAGAGAATTTCGTCCTATGGTCGCCTATATATCTCTATTTTTTGCACGCGCCGTGTATATATCTCTAAGTAAAATTCGACATTGAAAAGCTGTATCGCTCCTCATCGCAAGCTCGTTATAATCACCTGGCTTAGAATTTGAGAGCGGTTTGGGTGGACGTGAGAATTTAGGATCCGAGGATGGAAATTTTTGAAAAGAAACTGACATTTATATATGTAAATAGGGGCGCAGAGATATTTGATGCGGATGTGTAAATCGAGATGCGAATGGTAAATCAAAATCTCAAAATCAGGAATAGTGATTCAAGAATAGAATATTACCGGAAAAAATGCTAAAATTCATTTTTCTTAACACGATAACATATGGATTAAGTAGGAAAAAAATGCAAGACAACAAGTTTCGACTCGCAATCAGGATCAGAGGCAAAAATATCTTAGTTTTGAGTACCTTTTTAGCAAATTAGCATAAGATAAGCTATTGTAGCACATTACTCTTCATAGAAAACCATGAGATTTAACCAAAAATAGAGAGTTTTTTTGCACTATCATTTATTATGAGCATGTAATTTACATATTTTCATTTGTATTATTATGAAACCACAATAACATAATAATACATTATGAAATAGGATATGCCCGTCTTTTATTTGATAGGTAAAGTATAACAAATAGTGTATTGATAAAACCAAATAAATATGTATCGTATCGATCAACTCAGTGGTAAATCGATTGATACATTTGCAAATTAATATTTTACAGATTCGCCTAATAGATGTGTATTGTTTAGACCTTGGATCAAATCAAATCATAAGATACGAATAAAAAATCGTAACATATTAATAACAACGGTGCAATTTAACCTCCAATAGTGAAACTTAAATATGCATTTGATATATACAAAAATAGACATGTGTAAATGGTCATTAAAGGAAATGCGACGTAAAATTTTTAAGTGAGGAGGGGGCTGACCATCTCCCACATCCTCTAAATCCAACTTAAGGTGCACTTATTTCACTGAAAATTTCATGATAAAAAATATATTTTTCATGAAAATCATTTTCAAGTAGAATAATTAATTTTCATTTGTATGATGGCTTAGAAAAAATGATTTTCTTCTTGTCAGAAAGCGAAGTCCTCTTTCCCCAATCCGAGATTGTTATTGTAGTACATGGAAAACTAAATCGATCAATTTTCCATCATCCAAACACCGGAAAGACAAATTAATTTCCCGAAAATAGTTTGCCTTCAACTAAACATACTCTTAGAATACGAGGAATTGAAAGATCTTAGCTGGACATTTGGTGGTTACTTAAGGATGCGTTCAAGGAACTCGAGCCAAAGTTTTTGTGTAAGAATCAACCAAATTGCGTGTGAGGTGCTGGGCATTGCTCCAATCTTGTTTTCGCTTGCTAGCCTTGTTCTTCTGAGAAATGAGCTTTAATTTGCACATCACACTCTTATCAGAACAAACATCATTTCCGTCGGCGTTCATTCCTTTGGCAAAGAGTGATGCATTCAATGTAATCATTACTGTTGACATTTAGAAATGAGCTTTAATTTGCACGTCACATTCTTATCAGAACAAACATCATTTCCGTCGGCGTTCATTCCTTTGGCAAAGAGTGATGCATTCAATGTAATCAATACTGTTGACATTTAGAAAGTACCCAAAAAAGACTGCGATACCAGCCATTAGATCACTTTCACTTCGATATTCAAAGTCAAATGACTGAAGCAGAAAAGTTTTCGAAGTGTCGACGTGAAGCCGCTGCAACCAGATGCGAGTAAAGAGAAGTTCACTCGTCATGCACTGTATCGGAAGGGAACATTGTCGCACATTCATGCAAACTCCTACTGCTAAAATAAACTACTACAGTTCTAAATGCAAGACACGATATAGATTGCATCTTCGTTACTCCGTCAGCATGTTCGACTGTGTTGCTCCTCCAAAAACACACGTTAATAGTCTAATTTCCAAACCACCGCCACAGTATTTTGTGGATCTGTCATAGTTGGGCAACTGCTACTTGCTAGAAAAACAAGAACCTTGACCCCCAGACATTCCCATGAAGGGATTCGAAAACCTGACATTATTGTGACTCTACCTAGGAAAGCAAAATGAGGCCGTAAATCTACAAACAATGCAAAAGGGAAGGTCAATAAACATTTCAGTAAATGCGTGGTGTAGGGGGAAATTTTTTCAAGGACCTAATCCACCATGGACCGAGTCAATCACAACCATTGATCATATGAAGTTCACATGGAACCAACCGTGATCAATGGTTCCGACTAACCCGGTTCACCATGAACCAGATCCTTGCAAGTATTTTGCGATAGTGTAAGGCACCATCTATCTTTGCACTGCTCGAACTCTTGCAGTGAAGAGCTGGTATATGTGCCCATTGATTTATGCAGCTGTATTAACTTACTGCCTGGCCATACTAGGGCCAACCAGCTCGGCCAGCGGCAATGTCCCCAACTCCCTTAGCTGTGTACTCCCAGCACACTAAGCAGCTGCAAGGTCTATGCTTCATCAAGCAAAGTGCCATAATGGGAAATGATGTGATGGTTCAGGTAGAGTGTTGTTGGCATTGATATAGCCAAAAGAAGTGGAAACACCACAGGAAAAAATGCCATAACTGATCTACAATCTCTTCATTTTGCTTTATCCATTAAAAGCATACCATAGGATAACATAAAAGCTGAATAAAGGAAACACAACACTGTTTAGAAGGAAGTATTTTGATAGCAATAATGATTACATGAGACGACGCATATATGAGAGAACAATCATTATCATTAAGAACAATTGCTTATAGCAATGATAACAAAAGATGCAAAATAAAGATCAATGCATATAACAACCTGCATGCTACTCCTCTTTTATTTCTTATTCTATAAAACTAGACAACATATTGCATGTCTTGATATTCCGTTGTAATGAAAACAAAAAATGAAAAGATTACATAGCTTCCACCTATCTAAGGTATGACTTACCTTCATAGATCCTTATCTAACCTCTCAAAGTCAACAAAAAATTAAAACTTAAGTTTCAGCTTCTCTGATTCTCTCTCTCTCTCTCTCTGAAAAAGACAGGACAAAAACCATCCCTACAAAATCCAGTCCTAATAAGGCACTGGTCATCATTTGAAAAAATGAACAGGTGAAATTTCTAAGTTCCTTTATTCCAAGGAAACAAAAAGGGAAAAGATCACCCCAAGTAAAATTGCTCAACATGCACAATGTCTGTGCAAAGAATGGTACTCAGATATTTAAGTGCGCGACATACTCACGCTGCGGCAGAATGCTTCAGATATTTAAGTGCACAACATACTCATGCTGCGGCAGACTGCTTTTCCTCATAATCATCAAGATTAAGAGCTTCCAGCAACTTCGGCCATGATTCTGGAATCCCGCCTGGCAGGTCAAACTCCAGAAGCTTTCCTTGCCTCCGGTAGAAATCTTCTACAGGTTGACTCTACACTCAACCAATTACATATGAGTTAATTACTCATGGACCATAACCAGCTGAAAACTACTCCAGAAAGGGCATCCAAAAACTAGTCGCCCCCACCCCCGACACACACTAAAACTTGTCCCAACAAATACAAAAAGGAAAAGACTCTAGTACAAACAGATAGATAGTTTGTGAAACAACACAAGTAAAATCAAAAGCACTTTACCATCCATCCACTAACCATAAGCTTTTCTAACAAGTTCATATGAGAGGAAAAATGGAGAATCCAACTAGGAAAAAAGAAAACTTTAAATGCCAGATGACACAGATCTCGGCTGATAATATGATTTTTCTGGTTTTCTCTCGTGGTGGAGATATCCAAGAGCAAGAAAATGTATTATCAGACAGGAAGTCCCTAAAGCTTCCCCACGTTCAGATTTCTCGTGTAAGAAGAATGAAGAAAAGGCAATAATTGATACCTTTTCATAATAGATCTTAAGCCGTTCCTTCACTACTTCTTCAGTATCGTCGGACCGAGTAATGAGCTTTGTCATGCAATGTGGAGGGGGTAGAAGAGGATCCATGCTAATTCCAGGATTCCCATTCTCACCCTTGACATTAATGCTGGCAACATTAAAATTCTTGCCACACTGACTACATATTCTTCTTCCAAGACATTTCTCCATCAAGACATCTTCACGGAGTTTCAGATTGACCACCAAGTCAATCTCTGTCACCCCTTCCAGTATTTCCTGCAACCAAACGGAAAGAATAGTAAATAACGATTTACTTCCAAAACCAAAATACATAGACATCAGGACTGATGATTGCTCTTTGATCACCCTCCGTTTGGTTATTTTGATAAAGGGCAATACAAATTAACCACAAGGTCTAGTCAACACATCATATACATGATCCAAAGAGCCTATTTAAATAATACCAGAAACACAAGCTGATCAACAGTAAATCTTGCATTGCAAGTTCTGCAGAAAATGCGGATTCAAGTCAAAGAACCATGAAGAGCAATAAAAAAATTTCTTTTTGTTTTTCTTCCAGAACCATGGAGCATACCGCTTGCTTTGTCGTGCGTGGGAACCCATCAAGAATAAATCCTGATTCACCTTTAGCTTCTCCAGCCTCAAGCCTCTTGGACAATAACCTTATGATTATTTCATCAGATACCAATTGACCTTGATTCACGATCTCCTTCAGCTGCAAGAATAGTAAAGGAAGTGAGGTGTCTGTAGAGAAGCGGCAGAGATAGACGATAAGATATCAATTATCTACAAGTACGTTATTTTCTATACATAGCCCAACATATAGTAAATACCCCACTGTAGAACTATAAAGAACACAGCTACCCCAAGCTAATTAAATCCACTAGATGAACCGCAACAGCAATATGTCAATAGCAACCAACAACTACTGATAGAGGAAAATGGGAAACACTAAAACCTCACGCATGATTAGAAAAGAGCCAAAAAGAGAAAAAGAATTAAAAAAACCGAAAAATTCTCACATAGTCCAGGCATTTTCCTGCTTACATAAAGAGAAAGGAGGTGCTCAGAATGAGTATGAATGGAAGACTTTTTCGTCCTCAGGTTAAGTTCAGATTAACGAGATAGATAAGCTCATCATCATTGCACCTCTCAAATATTGAATGAATAACTGATATGTAACGGCGCGAAATCTCTCAGTAAGATTTGACGGGAGCAATTGAAAGAATAGAAAAGAAGCATTGATTTTGGCCAAGAACGTCCAACTCCCTCACCAATTCATGATATCCTATCTTCTTCCTAAGTCGATATTAGCCAAGATTTACATCGATATCCACTGTAGTCGAGCAAAACAGTAAGACGGCGCCCCTTCACTTCGACAGCGATAGCTATACCCCAATGGGCATAGCTTCAAAGCTAAAACTAGTCGAGCATGTGAAAGAAAAAATCCAAAAAATTTCCACAAGAACAGACCAGAAGAAGAATGCCACCAGAGCATATTCTCGAACAATCACACTCGCAACAAAAATAAACGAAAAAGAAGTTCACAATACCGGACTCGATCGGCCACTGCAGCTCGCATCACCAAACATCTCCAATATGATTACTACAAAAAAGGGAATGCTAGTACGAAACTCTAAGCAGAAGCTCAGAGAGAGATAGACAGAGAGAGACAGAGAGAGAGAGAGGAGAGGGGACCTGAAGAGAGAGAGGACCGGAGGAGGAGAGCTCCTCGCGGACGAGATCGCCGGTGGCGATGTGGGGGACGCCGAGGAGAACGGAGAGGCGGCTGGCGTAGGTGCCCTTGCCGACGCCGGGGCAGCCGAGGAACACCCACTGCACGTTCCTGGCCTCGGGATCCTCGCGGCGAGCCGGGCTAGGGTTTGCGGAGAAGGCGAACAACGGAGGCGAGGAGGAGGATGGGGAGGAGGAGGAAGGCGCGGCTTGGGAGGTGGGAGCCGAGGCGAAGCATCGGGCAACGCGAGAGGCGGCGGAGGAGAGCGACGGTTTCGAGGAGAGGCGGATCAAGGCCGCCGCCGCCATTGGAGGAGGAGGAGGAGGAGGAGGAGGTGGCGTTAGAGAGAGAGAGAGAGAGAGTGCAGCGTGCAGAGAGGCAAGGAAGCTTGGACTTTAGGGAAGAGGGAGCAGGAAACCCTAGAAGTAGCAAAGATTGTAATGGCGTTCGGCATCCTCTTCTTCTGGGCCCCACTCCCTCTCGCCCCCTCCTCCAAATCTTGCCAGAAATTGAACCTAAATTGATTCAATTAAAAGTCTTTCAATTTTGTGTACTTTTTCAATTAGATTCGATTGCATGTTAACGTCCTTCGCCGCCGTCACGAAGCGGAGGCGATACGTAGAATGAAGCGGACGAGAGGCGACGAGAAACGACAGAACATGAGAAAAACCCAAAAAAGCGATGGCAGCCATCGAGAAAGGGCTTATTTCTAAGATGACGAAGAGTTGAAACAGCCACTCCGAGAGGCCTGGAAGAGCACGCTCGCGGGAGTTTCTCGTGGTCCAGAGGTTTTTCGTGCGCTCCGAGCAAGAGACTTTTCCCTCTGGCACGTCTCTTCTTGTTCTTGGCTTCTTCGAGCTCAAATAGAAGGGAACGAAAGTGCCCGATTTCATTCGTGGGTTTTCGTGTTTCGCTTTGTATCGTGTTGGAATCACCTATAGTACGACTATGATCACCTAGCTACATCCGTTAGGAACAGTAGGGAGATACGAAATCGAACATCATATCTAAGTGTCGATTAAAAAAAAAACACACCATGTCTAAGTGCACTTGCATACTCTTGTTAGTAGCTTTGGCTAATGTAGTCATATCGCACGTGACGCCGACATTGTACGAAACGGTCGGTGACCAAAATCGAAGAAGGCGGCTGCTGGAGGCTCGTCTCTGGACACGTGGAAGCCCCGCGTCCCACAGAAACAGTTAAAACGCCCGCTGGCCCGCCGCCGGTTGGCAGCGTAGCGTCCCGCCGGCCTCTCCCTTCACTCCTCTACGCGTTCCCCGGCGGCTTCAGCTTTTTTTCCACTTCGACGGAGTATCCTCCCATGGCGGCTTCCGTCGGTGCGGCGCTCCCGTGCGGCCCTCTCCAACACCACGGCCGAACCGCCGACCGCGCCCCCGCTCTTCCGATCCCTCGGCAGCCGGAGAATCGCTCTCTCCAAGCCGGTCGCAGTCTCCAGAGCTCGAGGAAACATCTCGGGCTGTCGCGGCGGAGGAGCCGCGTCGCCGCCTCCGCCGGTGAGTTTTCGAAGCGATTTCGTTTCGTTTGAGCCCGCACAGGGCAAGCTGTCGATGCATCCGGAGAGGTTTCGGTGCCTTTTTTTTTCTTTCCAATTTCTGGATGAAACTGTTTTCCGGTGGGTGTTCCGCTGTTGGCTGACAGGTGTGGGAGCGTCGGCGGTCGGTGAAGACACGGGAGATTCACTGGATGACGTGCGGGTGTTTGATTTGAGTGGTAACGCCGTTCCCATCTCTGATCTGTGGAAAGATAGGAAGGCCGTGATCGCGTTCGCTCGCCATTTCGGGTGATTCTCATCTTTCTTCCTGTTCACCTCTATGGATGAATTGAGTTTTCATTCATCTGTAAAACAGATTGTACCCCCTCTGGCTCGTGCTTTCGGGATTAGGTGTTAAGCTCTCGCGAAATTTTCATTGCGTGTCGTGACTCGGGATTTGCATTCAGGTGCGTGCTCTGCAGGAAACGCGCTGATTATCTGGCCGCTAAGAAGGTGACGTGTGTTCTAATTCCTAATGCGAATTGCATAAAACAAGAAAAAGATACTTGCTTTAAGCCTTGACAAAATCAGTAAGTGGTTATGTTGCTGCCGTGTCTGGTTAATAGTTGTGAGATAATCTTATTTTTCTTATTCAGCTATGGCTCTTATTCATTTCTAGTTACTGTATTACTTAAAAGTGCTAATTGATTGGATATCTGAAAGCTTAATATGACATGCATATCCTTAGTTAGATATGTGTCTGGTCTGAAAATATAAGTCCTATGGGCTAATTACATGGAGACAGGAGTTGGAGGATAGGATTGCGAGCTCCGTAGTACCACAATTACCGTTAGCCAAGGGATTTGCGCCCCCTTTCCACCACTTGAACCTGTAGATATCCGAGGGATACATGGATTAGAAAGACTTTCTTTCCAAACAATATTTACCGTGAACGCACATTTCTTTCCTTTTTTCCGACCATGGCATTTAGTTGCTCATGTTGAACAATATCCAGTCTCTATATTCTAAGTAGATTCCCTGATTTATTTGAAGTATGGATGGGGTATTTGTAAGGGAAACCTGATGTGACTGCTCTATGGAGTGAAGATGCTGATTGATCAATATGACTACGATAGCTCGTGTTTTCTTGCACACGACTTCCTCCTTAAAATTGCTTATGTTGGAGAAACACACTCCAATTTTTCCTCGTCATTGTGAAAAAATTGCTTCTTATGATTGTTTGTTTGTCAGTAAGACTGTTCTAATATGCTAACAGGATATAATGGATGCATCTGGTGTGGCACTTGTGCTGATTGGACCAGGGAAAGTTGATCAGGTACTTCTAGAAAAGGAATTAGTTAGGTTGTGCTGGTATTGCATATTTGAGTTGTAATTATACTCAGTCAAGTAACTGTCAATGATGGATCTGGTGATTATGCCTAGTTCTCTCTTTCAGCTTTTGAATTCCTTCTGCAAATCTGTTTCTTATGCTATCTGTTTGGGCAATGATGCGGCTAAAAGTCCGGGGCTTATTGTGTTAGTGATGCCAATGCCGGTGCAATCTTTCTTCATTTTATTACAATAATTGGAAAATGCACTTCATTTCAATTAATGATACCAAACTATCAGTATTCTTCATATTCTGTTAATTAAACTGCCAGGCTCCTGCTGCAACTTACTTTCAATGATGACTCTGTGTTTCCTTATGCTACATTGGTTGACAATCGGCTTAATATGCTGCAGGCAAAAGCTTTCTCTGAGCAAACAAAATTTCAAGGAGGTGAGAATCAAAGAAATTGGAGTATTTTCTGTTGTGCCTGCATTTGTCAGCAGCAGTCCGTGTCAATGGTCTACATAACTGTGCCTGCTGCAAGATAATGGAAAAATATTGTTTATAATATATGAATCAAAGAAGCGGTTTCGGCAAAAATAAAAATGTAGCAGACTATGGTGAAAAAACATGAAATTGTGAAGAGATTGTTGAAAAATGGGATGTCGCATTTAATTTTCTCATGAATTACGAAGGTTTCATTAGAAATGAACTAGTGAACATATTATATCTGAAGTAGATTCTTTTTTTGGCTATTCTAGAGAAGAAGATTAAAACATTACTGTTATTATTAGAGAAAGCAATTGTAGAAAATCATCATCTGTTGTAAATTGTAGAAGTTGCAATGTATGCTGTTAGTACTGGTGTAATGAGGTGTATTGCAACGAAAATGCATTATCACTTTGGGAAATTAAAAAGGCAAAAGCGCATGAAAATCATTTTACCATGAGGCGAGGTATAAGGATATTCTCCAGTTCTCAAAATATGGTCCAATGCCATTGAACTGCTACAGAAAATAAGAAATTAAATGCAAAGTGTAGGACAAGGTTCGTCATAAAAATAAAAATAAAAACCTTGTAGGAATGGAGAATCATCATTAGTAGAAATCGTAGGGAATAATATGGTGAAGGGCATTCTTGATTTGTAATATTTGAAGAGCATTGAGAGTACATAAATGACTACCTTTGGTAATCATTGTCGCTTCAACAATCTGCAAAAAGAGACGATTTCCTTTTGGAAGTTGTCATCAGCATGCATAAGTAAATTGTTTTCGGATGTTCCCTTGTTGGACATTTTTTTCAGTTTGTTATCTTTGGTTTCATGCAGCTAGACACCCTGCCTTTCTTTGATTCATCTTGTAAAGTACAAACTGTTGTTTTCTTCAGAAGTGTATGCGGACCCTAGTCATTCAGCATACGAAGCATTAAGATTTGTCTCTGGGTTTACGACAACATTTACTCCTGGGGTATGTACAGGATCATTTTCATTTATCTGATTGCCTGATTTGCTTCCGTTGCTTCATTTTCATGCATTTGTGATGCAAGTGCACTTGAATGTATTTATAGAAATGAATGGATCTCATTATTTGTACATCATTCTAGGCTGGTCTCAAGATCATCCAGTCATACATGGAAGGTTATCGACAAGACTGGAAACTTTCTTCCGAAAAGGAAACTGTGTCTAGAGGAGGCTGGTATGTTGAATAAACAGTTCTACATTATTATTTGATCTATTAGATGTAGATGGTCATGGGATCTCTCAGATTGGCACCTCAATAAAAATGGTTGTCAATGCTATTTGCTCTATATTCAACGATTTCAATATCTGTACTTAGTTTTAATTACCGAGGTTCATAATATAGGCTGAGACATCTTTCTCTTCCGAGCTAATGTTTAACGCTGGCAAGTCTTGTCATCAGGCAAATTGAATTTAGGAGATTTTACATATGCACGTCTCTAATGTCTTAGCATCCTTTTGTCTGTGTCGGGTCATGCACTCTCATCTTTCATGAATTGGAAAACTTCTTCGTCTTCAAGGCATGGACAATTGAGCTATTATGGTGACTTTGTCAGGCAACAAGGTGGAATAATTGTTGCAGGTCCTGGAAAAAACAACATCTCTTATATCCACAAGGTCAGGACTGTCTGATCCTTGTCTTTTTTGCGTGTATCTTCATGAGAAACTCTAGTATATCCTTGAGTAAATTCTTATCTAGCCTAAGATCTTTGCATGTATGTTCATCGTTATTGCTATGACTGCAAAATTTACAATGCATATCAATATGCACGGTTTAGTTACAGGGGTTCTAATTCAGTTCTCTGCTAACAACAAAGGATAAATAGAATGCCCTTTGTAGAGTTGAAGCATAATCAATTCATAGTTAGTGCAGTAACAGCATGAATTCCAAATAATGGCAGTACTCTGAATATTTTCATTTGATTCTGATTTAGTAATATCATTTTCTATGTTGCTTCATGAGTAGGATAAAGAGGCAGGGGACGACCCACCCATCGAAGAAATCATGAGAGCGTGTTGCTCCTAAACAGAAAGGTGTATTCTTGCTATCAATAATGTCTCTGCTGTTTGACCAAAAAAAAATGTCTCTGCTGACCTTGAGGCAATATCAATGAGCTTCAAGCTTCCAGAAATAGTAGTTCTCAGCCTTCAAAATCGAACAGCAGCATGCGGGTATATTTTAGTATCTGTCAACATGAATCCAAGCATTCTCTCATGGAGGGATATTTCGCATATATCCAAATTGCTAGGATTTGCTTTCTTTCTGTCTACTGTACAAATGCCAACATATTCTACACCTTGGAGAAAATAAAAGGAGAATTATAACCATCGTTGTTGAGACTTGCAATGATACAGAACAATCTTGAAGGGCTTTTAGCTTTAAACTTTGTACCTGAACTTTGATGTACATAACTGAGGTTCGGTTAGTTGTAGCTCCCCTGATATACTCTTGAATACGTGGCAGGCATAGTACTTTTAATGAAATTATGCAGGTAATTAATGTTCAAATAGCCATTGAGATGGGTTGGTGCTAGAAAACGTGTATATTAGGCTAGGAGATTTCATATGCATCTCCTTGTAAAAAACTAGGCAACATGACTCAAGACTGCATCCAGGAACAAAAGAAAAGGGAAATGAACACGAGTTCTGTGGATTTTATCCAATTTAAGCACAACGGCTAAGTGTTGCTAGCAAAGTAATCATTATGAAGCAGTCAAGTGTTGTAGCTTCTGAAATGCAAGTGTAAAAGAAGATGTCGCGCCTTTCGTATTGAGTTGCCATGGCAGCTGGTAACAAGGACCAACTTCTTAGTGGCGCCACCACCCATGGATTTGGTTGGTGACGGTTGTCCAACCTGAGTTATGTCGTGTAAGTCCCCAGCAATAACGTCGACGTCGTCGAGTCAAGAGGAAGTGGGTTGGCTGAGAAATGAGGGAGGGCTTGCTATTTCTATGGGATTGGGGGCAGAGCATCCAAGGTCAAGTTGGGGCGGCCCTTTCAACCTGTTCGAGGCAAGAGGGGACTCTGTGTGAAATTTCTCTTATACCTGAAGATAGAAGCAAATAGGAAATCTGAAACGAGTGTATTCGCGCAGAAATTCGATTCAGTTTTGTGGGGAAGTCATTACTTGAGAAGCTAATGCGTGTGTATACTGTGGCTAGCTAATGTCGCTTTTAGAAGTGCCTCTTGAGTTTTGTATCAGAGTACCCCTCCTTATGATCTACATCCATTGATCTTGGGCGACTGGACTGGAGTTTTCCTCTGTAAACGAGTTCGTGTGTAATTTAGATTCACTTTAAGCCGGCTCATTCAGTAACAATCCATTCAAAAACCTTCTTTTGTTGAGTTAGTCAAAAATAGGATTGTTCAACTTAGAATCAAAGCATTTATTGCCAACCGCACTTGACAAGTGTAATGATGAGGGAGAAATAGACTCGGGAATTAGTTATTTTGACGATGAATTTTGTCTGTTAAGATTTTTCCTTTTTACATATAGCACTACGAATTTTGAAAACAACACACATACTTTAAAATAATCTTGAATCATATTATTCGACCCAAAAGTGAGTAATCGATAAATTTATAGAGAGAGACTTCCAACTCGAAGAGAAACCGATACAATAAGCTAGACAAATCATCACGGATTGTTCAGAAGGCCAAAATCAAAACTCAACATCCAAAAATGTGATTAAAGTTTCTAAACTGACATCATGGGCAAAAGCCATAATCCAAACTTAAGACCGAGGCTTCTCCTTCTTTTCCTTGAATAGGGCCAGGAGGGACACTCCAGAAACCTTCACGACCTTGAACCTGACACCAGGAATATCTCCCACGGCATGACCCTTTCGGCCAAAACCGGCAATCAAAACTTCATCCTGGTTTCGGAATTATGCTCAGTCAGCAAACCAGAAAGCAACAAGAGGAGGAGAAAAATGGTTGAATACTTGACAATACACTATGGAAGATCTTACATTTTCCTCTATGTAGTTAAGGCAACCATCATTGGGCACGAAAGCAGCTATCTTCTTCCCGTTTTTGATGAGCTGAACTCTAGCACATTTTCTAATGGCAGAGTTAGGCTGCTTAGCCTCAATACCTCTGCACATTAAGTAGTTATTATTTAGCACATTCTAGACAATATGCTTGATAAAGAATCGGTAGCTTTTATTTCTGTGTACTTGAGAGAGATTGAGAGAGAGAGAGAGAGAGAGAGAGAGAGAATCTTACATCTTCTCAAGGACAATGCCCTTGGCATGAGAAGACCCAGCAAATGGCTTCTTCCACTCATTGCCGAGATGGGATTTCTTGTATGACTTGTCAGCCCATCTCTGCCTCCTTCGGTGAGACTTCAATTTGCGACCAGCTCCCATACCACGTGTCTTCCTGCAACGAAATGTCCGCTTAGCATCTCATAACCACACATTACATCTCCCATAACGCATTAGAATGCTACCACAGGTCACCTAGATTTCATGATGTCACCAATCTCTGATGAAAAATAGCGGAAGGAAGCTTATCACTATTGCCAGAAGACATTCACTAGCTATCTCCTCATAATTCAACTGATCCTCAAAAGTATTGCAGCGCACATTTTTAGGATAGAGATCGCAACTACTAATACATAATTGAAGACGACACATCTCACGACACTATATTGACCATATTTTATTCTAATTACTTTCATCATCTACTCCATCCTTTCTCAATGAGCATTCATCCCAAACGGAAAAGCCATTAAAAAACGCTACTTATAGCGTTCCAACTTAAAATTTGCTTAGCATTGCTATTGGAGTGTGTAAAAGAATGTGCAGACAATGTAAATGTGGCATAGCGTCCCAAAGCGGTAGAGGTAATCTCATTGGCTTTACGAACCCGATATCTCTCACAGCAGGTCTAAAGCTAAACACATCGTCACTAGAGTTTCGGAAGATAAAGCTCTGGAAACCGCAACAGGACAGGACAGGACAGCAGAAGTAAAGATACACCCGAAAAACGAGTTCGGGTCAGTATACAAACAAGGAAGACCTCTCTTCTAACGTATTTAAGAGGATTATGAGAGGCGACAAATGCTGAAGAACCCAAAAAAGAGACCCAACTTTTGGAAATTACGGAGAAAAACTGCACTAATATCGTAATCTGCCCAGATTAAGTTGCTTTTACTTCGCTCAAAGAGAGAAAAGAAACGAAAAGAAAAGCAGCAGCAGCAGCAGCATAGACTTCATCGTCTGGTACTCGAGCAACCTCAAATCTTTCTGCTACACTAAAGACAGGCTCAAACATATCTACGCTTCCAATCCCAAACAAAATGAGAATCCAAAACCACAAGAACCGGAGTCGCACGTTCGACAGATCAAAAGAAAAACAAGAACAATCAGTACCCCATGGTGGCTGAGTTAGCTGAGCAGGCGTGGTTCGGCTCCTGGAGGAAATTTGGAGAGAGAGGTTGAAGAAGACCAGAGCGCGGCAGCTGCTGCAAGAAGAAACCCTAGCTCCCAGGCGCTCGTCGATGGCGGTATATATACACTCGTGTCTGGTCGGGTTTGTTTGGGCCTTTTTTCTGATTGGGCTTTGGGCCCAAAGGCCCGGTCCCGTTTAAGCCCATCGAAAATGGTTATTTTTTAATTTGTCCGGTGGTTTAGGGGAAGTGGTTTTCTCTTTGTTAGTAGGGAAAGTTGTATTTCTCCTATCTAAATTTGTTGCTTTCAGTTCAAGAAAAACGTCTTTCATAAATCGATTAGTTTTTCGTCATCCAAACACCTAAAACGTCGGAAAAAAATTCCCATAAACAGTTTTCCTTGGGCTCCGTTAGTGTCGCGCTGATCTAGAAAATATTTTCTTCAAGATGATAACTTACAAAAATTGAATAAACAAGAATGTTCTCATCGTTCATGATTCATTGACTAATTATTTCAAGCGATACAAACATGTTATCCATGACATTCCTTTTTTTTTTTTGAAACAAACGAAGCAGATACTGACCTCATGGGGTTGCTTAACCAATAAAGACCGAGTTGTGCATATGAATTAATTATGCGCAATACAGTTGCAATCCCCCATGCTACCAGGACCAGATCAGTCCTCGTTTAGGCTACTTACCTCGAGCTTTGATTCACATCTTAAATGATTTATCATATTGGTATAGTATCACGAAGAATCTCAAATCGATATAATTGATAAGATGGGGTCATACCCCTTGTCATCGTTAAGAGAAAGCATATTATATGACTGTTACATTACCTGCATAATGTGCATCTTATCCTAATTATTAGTGCCGCATGTAATATGTATATACTTCAAATGGATTTTTACACCATGTGGCACTACCATGTGGTAAAACATTACTTATCAATGATCTCCCTATAGCAAGACAGTCCATCTGAATTGATTTTTAAGATTTACTTAATCAAAACTTTACAAGGTACGCAATTTGATTTTTAAAAACTCTAAACATTTGAAATTTTAATAAAATGTCATAGTTTTTGCAAAATTTTATAAATTTAAATAATATCTTAAAATTAGACGTACTTTAGCTCAAACCTCAGCGAAAAACTCAGGGCCCTATGCAGTGAGCAATAGGTAACAAATTACTAAGAATAAAAGGGACCATATTCATGTTCCATTAATCCTCGTTTGCATCTTATTCTTGTTTTGTGTTTCATATCCCTCTCTGCTGCTAATCAGTCGTTTCCGCCTTTGTCGACATGCTTGTGTCACGGCCCAAAGAATTGGATCGTTCACAAGGGTTTTGAATGATGGACCGTGACCGCTTCACGGACGAGAAGGTAGATCTCGAGTATTCTAAGTCTTAAGGTTTTCTTGATGTATTCTAGCTGGGGGCGGGCATTATTATAGTTGTACCTCATTCTTGTAATTCTATTGGCCGATAGGGAGGTGGCCATTGATTGGGAAATAGGGAGGTGCGATCTCCACCGTTAGATCGATGAGAGATCTACGGATACGGTCCGTCCTGTACTTATATAAAAAAAGGGTCTCCCCTCATTTATCATCTCGTTCTCAAGAGAAATACAATCGAGAGTTTCTCATTAGATCATTGACTCAGCCCAAAATTGAATGGGGCTAGCCTTCAGTTATCAAACACACACTTGCTTGGTTTAGCAAAACACAACCTCGAGCAACCTCAGATTAAAATATATCTAAGCTAATGAGAATCCAAATCATAAGAACCGAGTCACACGTTCGACAAATCACAAAAAACAAGAACAATCTCGAAGATAAGAAGGTAGAAATCGCAGTGCAGTACCCATGGTGGCTGTGTAGGCGTTGCGCGGCCTTCGGCGGAAGTTGGAGAGGTTGAAGACGGAGTGGCAGCAGCGACAAGAAACCTGTCAGAGGCTCATTGAGGACTGCGTATATACGTGTGTGGGGTCTTGTTTGTTTGGGCCTGCTATCTGATTGGGCCTTGAATGTTTTGGGCTTTGTGTGGTTCGGGTTTGGGCTCTTCGTGAAGCCCATGCGCCGCCCCCAATACTAGTCGCATGAGAGGGGAGCCTCCACTTACCAACCAAGGGCGAACCAGCAGACCGTTCCTTGTTTAGGCTACTCGCTCCGGCTTTGGTTCGCATCTTAATTGATATACGAGATTAGCACGATATTATAAGCAATCTCGCATTGGATAAATAGAATCGTAATTGATAAAGTAGGGTCATAAATTTGGTCACCATAAGAAAGAACGCATTTTATGTGCCGAATCTGCCGATCGCATTACGCAGAGTAACCGATCCGTCGTTTGATCATCTGCATCAATAATTTATCTTGGATATTTCTTGTTTTCCTATCACGAGCGAGCCTCATTTCGTCCACGTAATTTCGAGCAAATTTTGGGGTTTTTTTCAATTTGGCTTTGCAAAAGTGAAAGTGACGATGAATTTTCTTTTGCTTCTTTCGCCTTTTGGATTGCTTTTAAGTTTTGTCGACTGGATAAAGCCACGATAGGATATGTTTTATCCTATCCCGTGCTTTGGTGTGGTCCAGGATAGGATAAGGCTGATATAGACGGATATACCTGATAAAAATCCGAGGGTGGGAGTGAGATAGACCCGGATAGGATTTCTAATGCTATTTTTCCGAACCCTACTCTCCACTTGCCGTCATCTTCATCCCCACACCTTGTGCGCTTTCACCAAAAAAATTTCTGGCTTTTTTCCTTCACCGACTCCTCCGGACCCGTGAATAGCAAAAAAAAAAAAAATTTATTCTATCCGACTTTAAATCCGTAGTCCACCAAACAATGGATAGGATATGAAGAAATCCTAGATTTCTTATCCTATCCTATCCAGTCCTGTCCTGTTTAGAAATCCGGACAACCAAACGCAGCCTAAGGGATTGAGCCGACATGGCATGGCGATTTATACACATGGATTCTGCCGCTTAATAAACCATCAAAACTAACGCACCTCGTCAAAATTTATTCGTGGAACGGTGAAAGGACGGTCCATGATGCGTTTTTTTAAAAATGAAGATACTCGTAAATAAAAAAATAACGAGAAGATGATTTTAAATTCCGAATACTAGAGAGATTACTAAGAGGATTTCACTTTTACCGATCAATCATTTTAAATTATATTCATCCCGATCAATTTATATTTGAAGAATTTACATTTGAAGTTCTGACACTTCCCTTATGATTCGCTAGTGGCTGTCCTGCGATGTGCGAACTAATGATCAACAAATTAGCTTGTGCTTCTTTAAAGGAAAGACCTCGTTAAATTGGGATTGAACAACGTGATAACTTTACCGCTCCGACACCGACGAGCTGCCCATCAAGAACCGCCTCAAGCCCGACCCTGTCATCCTCCAGACCCTCACTGTCAATTTGCATTGCCGGGGTTCGACCATTCGCTTGTCTCTTGAAACCGATGGCTGTACTTGTCCCGTGCACTCAAAGCATCAAAAGTGAACTAGAAAATAAGGATATATTTATTTCACGAAAATATTCACGAAGGTCTTTCCATTTAATGGATCAAGATAAATGTATTTGTTAGGATATGAGCACGACCTTAAAAGGCTTGAGGAGTACAGGAGAAACAGGGTGATGAACTCTCCGGTATGATAGATGGATCTCCTGTAAACTCTCTCCGTATAACAATCCTCTCCCTAAACGAAAAATCAACAAGGAGAGGGACAGAGGTGTAGAAGTAGACCAGCCACCAAGTCATTAAACAAGGCATTGTAGCCTCTATATAGGTAAACTTGACCAAATCACCAAAGATCCAAAGGTGCCCCGGATAAAGATAATTGTATTTGTTACCGAACTTTTGTAAATCAAAAATTGATTAGAGTGATTATAGGTGTTGGAGGATAATATACTTCAGCTAGCTGCTGACTGTATCCTTATACCAAAAGAAAGCAATAGAGAAGGATTTACAAAAAGGAACGACTTCAAACCTCTAGGCATTACAGAAATCATGCCTAAGGAGGAGCTATAGATCATTGCGTGTGCATTCAAACCGACCGAAATTCAATCGCTAAGCGCCGGCTCCTGGAGACTCCTCAGTTTGTCTCCTCAGCTCCTCATCCGCATTTCTCAGGAACTGGTCCCAACCGCTCCCAGGACTTGTATCCAAGTAGTCATACGGCACAGCTGTTTTCAATCCAGGTCGGACTGCGCACCGACTCTCCACAATTCTAAAATCCACGCCTTCATCGTCCCCTTCGCTCAGTTCGTCCCATGAAAAGAGGAGCGGCAGCGTGAATGCCCCCCAAGGGTTGAAATCCAGTACCTTAACCCTCCCATCCTTTGTGACATAAACATCAAACGTGTAATTATCCGATTCAAAGTTCGGACATATTTCGCTTTGAAAGACATCCTCGATCAAAACCTTAAGGTGGTCCTTCTTCTCGAGGAGGACCGGGTAAAATGTGGTAACCTCACGTTGGCAGATCCCCACCAGGAGCTTGTTCCTTACGAAACAACGGAATTCCATCTCCGGTCGAAGCGCTGGCTGCCACTTCCGTAGAGCAAGGAAAAAGCTCTGCGGCGTCGACGAGGTCTTGTCACTGCAAGAATCATACACATGACAGAGATCGTGGGTCGACGAATCGGATGCGCGTAGCAAGAGGGCAATATCACTGAGAGACGTGCACCGAAGGTTCCCGCTGCCACTAATCCAAGCAGCATCTTTTGGCGAGCTCCAGTTTAGTTTAGGGAAAACAGCACCCCCGAGCGATTCGATTGACTCTTTGACCTCCAACTCGAGTTCTGGAAAAGAAGGAGGTGGGAATTCCTCAGATTCGTCTCCAGATCCTTCTGGAACCGCAAGATCATCTTCATCCACAGGATTACGAACCCTGTTGGGAAAGGCATCTTCGCCTGTGACAGAATTGGGTAGAACAAATGGTCCGGAGTCACCACGAAGGTACTGGACAAAGGACTCCGGAAGCCGATGAATAAGCGTTTTGATGGACATTGACTTGAATTTAGGATACCACTCTTGGATCTGGCATCGATCCACTTCTTCTTGCCTCATTTCTTTGTAACTTTCAAAAAGGCTCGTTCCAAATGCTAGAGAAAAAGCAACAAGTGCTAGGGCAATTTACTGAAATCTGAAGCAGATGCCTGCAGAGAGCCTGGAGAATACACGAGCACATTGATTACGACCAGCAAGCACAAATTAGGTATGAAATACAAAAAAAAAAAAGCAGATTGATCGCAGAAAGAAAGACATTGTTAAGTGTCTGTCAAACATCTCCTACACCAAAAAGAGACATCTAAAGAAACAAAGTCTTGATATTTTTTAGCTCAAAGAACCTTTATACCTCAATAACGCAACACTAGCTTCACGCAGGTGAGAACAAAATAATTAGATAGTCAAGATTCATGAAATTAGAGACACCACAGGAATCTAAGACAGACCCATAAATATTCTATCAGAATTAGATCATTAATCCGGCATCAGCTGTTCTTGAGCTACTTCTATAGATAATAGACACTCTTATACAGAATTACACATTGCAAGACAGAGCCAGAAGCAAGCTTGGGCAGTAAGAAAGGAGGGACCAACACAAAATGTATTAGATGTTGTCACATTTGACTGGAGATTTGCATATGTATTAGCTGGTCGGGAGAGCACTGCACATGATTCGCGTATTCTATCTTATGCACGTTCAAAGCCGAACGGATGAACATTCCTAGAGGTAAGAAAATTGAATTCTATGTGATGTTTGAATTGAGTTTAGTACGTTAGCAATAAACGGAAATATTATCTTGCCGGTGCTGCTTATGGAATCCAAAGTGGGATCATCTGTCCCTATCGTGGAGTTCAGTGATCGATCTAAAGTGAAGTATTCAATCTGCGCCACAACTAGGAGAACAGAACTAGAGATACACCCAAAAAGAAAGATCGCATTGGTATACAATCGATCGAGATCTTTTTATCAGCCAAACACATCTAATAACAAACTTTAGAGGATTAACAGAGTCTACAAATGCTGAAGAACCAACCTCAAGCAACCTCAGATCTTCTAATATTCTAAAGACAAGACGAACACGTATCCAGCCTTTAATCTAAACCGAGGAAGCAAACCACAGGAACCGAACCGCACGCACGTTCGACAGTGAAAAAAAAACAGGAACAATCCCAAAGACAATAAGGTAAGAGTCGCAGCATGTTTACCCCATGGAGGGTGACCGAGCAGGCGCCGCGCGGTTCTGGAGGAAGCTCGAGAGGTTGAAGACGGTGCTGGCAGCGGCAAGAACAAACCCTAGCCCTGGTTCAGATGTAATGGGCCTAATGGGCCTGTTTAGGCCTGCTTTCTGATTGGGCCTTGAATATTTTGAGCCCAAAGGCCCGGTATTATAAGCGGTTCAGCTGACTGCGGAGCTCCGCCGCTAATAGCGAGCTCCCGCTCATTTTCCCGCCACTCCTCCTCCTCCGTCACTCCCAAAATGGCCGAGAAGAGGAAACGCCGCCGCGCCGACGCCGACGCCGACGCCGACGACGACGACGACGAGCTCCCCTTCAAGAACTGCCTCAAGCCCGACCCCGTCATCCTCCAGATCCTCCGGTCCCTCACCGCCTCCTCCGCCGCCGCGGCCTCCTCCTCCTCCTCCTCCGCCGGGGCCAAAACCCTAACCCTCGCCGACCTCGCCCTCTCCTCCACCTGCCGCGAGGTCGCCGACCTCTCCCTCTCCTCCGTGCAGTCCTCGATCGAGTCACTCATCCTCCGCATCGCCCGCTCCATCCTCGGCGGCGACGGCTTCGCCTTCGACGTCCCCTCCCGATCCTCGGCGAACCAGCTCTACGTCCCCGAGCTCGATCGCATCGTGCTCAAGGACAAGAACACCCTCCGCCCCTTCGCCAACGTCTCCAGCGTCCGCAAGTCCACCATCACCGCCCGCATCCTCCAGCTCATCCACCAGCTCTGCGCCAAGAGCATCCACGTCACCAAGCGGGACCTCTTCTACACCGACGTCAAGCTCTTCCAGGACCAATCGCAATCCGATTCAGTCCTCGACGACGTGTCCTGTATGCTGGGGTGCACTCGGTCAAGCCTCAATGTGATTGCTGCCGAGAAGGGAGTCGTTGTGGGCCGGCTTATTTTCAGCGACAACGGTGACATGATCGATTGCACGAAGATGGGGATGGGAGGGAAGGCAATACCCCCGAACATCGATCGGGTCGGCGATATGCAGAGCGATGCGTTGTTCATACTCTTGGTGGAGAAGGACGCTGCCTACATTCGATTGGCAGAGGATCGGTTCTACAACAGGTTTCCGTGCATCATCGTCACGGCTAAGGGCCAACCAGACGTCGCCACCAGGCTGTTCTTGAGGAAGATGAAGATGGAACTCAAGCTGCCGGTGCTCGCGCTCGTGGACAGCGACCCTTATGGATTGAAGATTTTGTCGGTTTATGGGTGCGGGTCAAAGAACATGTCGTACGACAGTGCCAACTTGACGACCCCTGACATCAAGTGGTTAGGGATAAGGCCAAGCGACCTGGATAAGTATAAGATACCGGAGCAGTGTCGGTTGCCCATGACGGAGCAGGATATAAAGACGGGGAAGGACTTGTTGGAGGAGGATTTCGTGAAGAAGAACCCGGGGTGGGTCGAGGAGCTGACCTTGATGGTGAAGACGAAGCAGAAGGCAGAGATTCAGGCTCTGAGCACTTTCGGGTTTCAGTATCTGTCCGAGGTGTATTTGCCCCTCAAGCTTCAGCAGCAGGACTGGCTCTGAGGAGAAGGATTCTCATTTGCTCTGGTAATTATAGTGTTTGCTTCTTCAGGGACAAAGTATTGTCTTGTTGAGAGGCATATCCTTCTGTATGTCTTTGAGATAAATCAACTTGATTTCGTTTAGTTTGACTCGAATGGGAAGAGAAAATCGATTGGCAGCTAGGCAACTTCTTTTGAGTCTCTTTAAATGTGTTGTTGAACTCTCTCTTTTGGTAAGACCAGAAAAACCACAACCTTTTTGTAATGTGTTCAATTGTGAGTATGAGCAATGCCCCCCGTGCGCTTATGCAGCAGGGTCAAGTGAATGAGGTTTTGAGAGTTCATTTTTCGCAAAGACAATTGCTGATAAACTATAATGTTATGTCTGATGCTTACAGCAAAAGAATAGCTGAGCAAATGGAAAAAAGTTGAAAAGAAGGGCCATCTTTCTTATTGCATATTTTGGGAGCTACACTGTTATTGATCTTACTTCCTGATCACTCACTAAATGCACCGGACAAATGTAGTCGACACAAATATGATGCACCAAAAATTCACAACACCACAAAGAAATACATCTTACTTGCTAGTGGCTACTGCTCGTCGACGCAACCAGTCATGCAATGACTTTCTAGTCAACTTTAGTCTTTGGAGAACAACTGGTCTCCTAGTGGAGGTTTCTGACTCCCTGGAAGGAGTCCTGCCCGACCTGGGTTCTATCAACAGAACATCAATCCCCAACTCGTTCTTTAGTAATTTGACAATTGCATCTTTGACCTCGGATCTTTGATCGGTTGGCTTTGCATTTATCTCACTGACTCCTAAGATGATCAAAACGTCATCATTGACTTCATTCCCTGTAACCATGATTTCAAAGTTGAAGAAGGGTCAGGTAATTAACTGCTAATGGTATTGATACCTGGTATTGGTTCAGCTGAAATACCCGATCTCATTAAACTAAGGTACTTTCTAAAGAAGTATTAAGGAAGTAGTTGGCTCATACCCAGACTGTAGTTTTCCTTGATCATTCGCAGAACAGCTAAAACGACTATCCGGGCTTCAACCTGTCAAAAATTATTACACTTTTTGGTGAGGAGAATACAGAGGCCACTTCTCTTTGTTGACTGAATAATCAGTCCAAGCAAAGAAAAGTAACTGAATCATTAGAAGCTACTTCAAGGTGTACCAGAGTTGAAAGTAGCACTGATTGATTGATTCTCATATGCTTCAAACCAATAATACTACTATTAGCCAATGCTTGAATTTGTCAAAGGAAAAAAAGAATATTGCTATGAGTGTTCTGGTATCCTTGGCAGTTTTAGTTTGTACCTTTGAAAGTCCCTGGAGATCCATTGCTAAGCATTCAGCGATGCTCCTCTGTAGGTATACTGCAACCTTTTCAAGAAGAAAACTGTTCGGTTTACTTAAGTCTGTTCCTTCAATAAAACTGACTTCTCCTTGGTTCATATCATTGTCTTGGATCACTCCTTCACACCACTCCTCGATTAGTGCCTTAAGATAGTGATCGTTGGGCTTGTACCTACGGTATGCATGTTGAATCAGAAGAAATATTGAGCTTCATGTCACTGGGAAAAACAGAAGAACATACCCTGCTTTTCTCATGTCCTGATATATTGCCAGGCATTGCTGCACTTCATGCAAGGAACCATATCTACTGCGAGCCCTTAAAAGTGTGTTGTATGTCACCTGAAAAGCTCACAGCAATTTACCTAACAAGACAAAAATAATAGGAACTAGCTCTACAACTATATGTGAGCCTGAGCTGCACTATCAATTGAACAACATGCTTATTGTAATATGTAGCTCCAAAACATTACAGTCAAGATGGGAGTTGTGCCACATTTAGAAGGTTGCTTTGAAACTGTTTTTTTATTTTTTTTGCCAATGATTGATTCAATGGCCTCATTTCCATTGACACATCTGGAGAAAATGATATGAGCATTGTGATATCGATTTTCATTTCAATTGTTAATCTTGCAGCATTATAGGACAGCTAGTCTTGAAGAATCTTGTCTCTTCTTAGACCTGCTCAATCAGATCAGTTTTCAGAATCATCTGAAACTGTTTAATTTCAGCAGCAGGACAGTGGATTGTCATACTAGAGAGAAGACACGTGTCATCTTCTACCAGTTCAAAGCCACTTACCAGATTTGGCTCAACTCGATACCTTTTCATCTCTTCATATAAAGAGAATGCCCGCTTTAGCTGTCTACCATCCACGCAAACCTGTGGAATGTGATGAATCAAAGTCTGGAAGTGCAAAATCAAATATAGCATTTCCAGGTGCAAACCATTAAGGACAACAGTTTAAATACAAATGGTGAAAAGGCAGAACCTTGATAGCTGTTGTATAGGCTATAACATCAGGTTGTATTTTGGCAGCACGCATCATTTTCAAGAGCTGCATTATATGCACAAGACATTAATGTTATCACTATAAGTATGTGAATCAGATCGGTGTCGACTGAATAAACAGAAAATTTAGCACTGTAACATTTGATAAACATTATGATAAAAGATTGATTGGAACATCTGTTGCACCCAATTAGCATTGATATGCAACATATAATAAAATAGACACCCAACAAGAGGTTAATGGGCTCGTCAATGTTCAATTCTAGTCCCCACCTAGCATTTGTACCCTGCCACCAATGCCAAAGATCTTGCATCAGCACTTGGGTCTATCAGATGAAATGATTCCCTACCTGCAGTGCACCATCCACATTTCCTGAGCCTCCACATAGATCAATCAAAATTGACCAGCTTATGTGATTAGGCGTAAGTCCAGCTACCTTCATTTCCTCCATCAGAGCTTTTGCACGGCGGTAGTCAGTTCCACAGGCTTTCATCAATATATTATATGTGGTAGTTGTGGGTGAAAAGGGAAATCTCCCAACAAAGCTCGTGCGACGTGTCTTGTATGCATTTTCTGGTGTATGACTAGAATTTTCTCTCTGGCGAACCATGCTCAATAGGCTCTGTTTTCTGCTTCCAAGGTCTCTACTTGAAGTCTTTGCCAATTTCCTGTCCTTCCAGGCCTGGAAAAGACGGAAAGCCCTATCAAACTGGCATGCCTCAACACAAGCATGTAAGAGGATGTTGCAACACTGTGAATTTGGTTCACAACCAGCCAGAAGCATTTCCTCGAACAACTGAATTGCCCGCTCCACCAGACCCGCTTTTGCACAGGCACTAATCAGTGATGACCATGTGACCGTATTAGGAGTAACGCCGGCACGAAGCATGTCATCCTTAATCTGTAGAGCCATCTGCCACAGTTTTGCATCTGCAAAGACCTGAAAATTTTAATAATCCAGATATCAGATACTTAATGGAGAATCGAGCAGAACAAATTTCAATTTAATGGCTGGGAACCTTTGGTGAAGACTCATCAAAGTTAGTCACTTGAGAAGATGGACCTTAATAATCGTGCTGTATGTGAATACATCCAACTTCAACACCCTCGTTGATTCTAGGTCTCCCACTTCCTGATATATTTCTTTGGCCAAATCAACTCTTCCAGCCAGGCAGCATGCCTTCAAAAGGATATTATAGGTTGCCATGTCCGGAGTGACACCAACATTCTGCATTTGTAAATTTGGCCAGTAGGATTTTCCATTGGTATGACCAATAAGTGGACTTAATTAAAGAAAAAATAGCTCTCTAACAAATTGAGAGAGAGCAGATTTACCTGCATTGTCTTGTATATGTGCAATGTGTAGCTCAAATCATGGGCATTGACGTTCATTAAGCTGTTGAAAACATAGATATTTGGAACGATACCCTGATTAAGCAAGTCCTGCAGCAGAATGGCAAGCATGAGAAAGCTGTGATTCACGTAGCATATCAAGCCTGGATGTGTTTGGGGAATTCCAACTTAGAAGATCATACAGCGAAACCTTGAGCAAACTAGCAATTTTCCAAATCACTCTGAAAACTACACGAATCCTTAAATCAATTGCCTTGGCAATTTAGGTTGTGATCATCAGCTTTAGTAGTTATGTAACCCCGTTAACAACTATGGAAAAGGTTGCCCTGGCTGTTGTATGATAAACGACCAACTTTCCTATGGTCAACCGCATAGTTTTTCTCAACACTCATGTCACCACGAGTACAGTCGCAATTTTATGAACTTCGATCATATTACTAAAAGCTCTTCATTCCTATAATTCTAAGCTCTTAATATCCTTTCTGGATCTGGGATTAAAAAACATCCAACCATCAACGAGCAAAAACTCCTCAAGTGGCTTTTGAAAGAGCCTTCGCCTCAGTCTATATATCTTATTGATTAAAAGCTCAAAATGCAAGAAGTGTAACTGTTTACGTCATTTAAAAAGAATATAGATCATGAATAAGAAGAACCATTAACAAGAGTTTGTCATGTTAAGTTCAATTTCATAGGGTAAGGCAAGTCAGTTACCTCACAAATGTGCCTGGATTCCTCAGCATCACCACATAGACCGCAAACATCAATTATTTTGCGGTAGACAAACATATTAGGGCCGTTGGAGCTTTTCTTGCAGGCTTCATAGGCTTTCAATGCGGATACCAGATCCCCTTTCTTCCCAAATTCGTGTATGATAGTGCAGAACAATATTTGTGCATGTGGAAAGATGCATGCATATCTGCAAAATGGCAGTGGCTGAAACATCAGACCAACAACTTGAGTTATAAATTATAATAAGAGTTCCCCATCAAGAACTAACGTAAGAAAATTTCACCCATCACTTAGACAACATATTTAAGAGTTAAAGCTCGAACCTTAAAAGAGCACTGGTATGGAATAAACTATATAACATACCTAATGGCCAAATTCGGCATCCGTTGATCAATTAACGCTCTGATAACATCAGCGGGTTTCACTAACTCTCTGACTGGAAATTTGAAACCTAACAGCAAACGAAGAAACATCAGTCACTTGATACAAGAGTTCAACTTAACAGATACTTAACTACCCGAATCATAACTTGCAAAGAATTTTACAAGTGCGATTTCTCCGAGTCTACTCCGTTCAAT